TCACCTGAAAGAAATAAAGAAAACGAGGGAATTCCGAGCCACTACCCGAGAACCCCAGCTCGGAGCGGGCACGCTCCAGCCGGGAGGGAATGCCCTCGCGAGCGCCCCCGCCCTTTAGGGCAGGGGAAGGCGGGGCTGTCCGCGGCCCGCCCGGCGCCGTGGCTTAGCTGGTTAAAGCGCCTGTCTAGTAAACAGGAGATCCTGGGTTCGAATCCCAGCGGTGCCTGCCCTATCCCCGGCCTTCCAGGAGGTTTATTTTGGGGGAACCGCTGCTGTTCCCTGGCCGGGCTTCTTCCCGCTCTTCCCGTTCCCGCAGCAGTCCAGCGCGGCCTGAGTGGTTCACGTCAGTCTAGGTAGCGGGATAAGCTGGGCAGGGCGCCGATCGTTTTCATAATTTTCACCGCAGAGACTGAGGCGTCCCCCTGTACCCAGCTGCCGCCCCCTCGGCGAGCGTTCTTCAGCGCGGACTGGCGTCTCCGTCCGTCTCGTTTCGTACAGGATATCGGGCGGTGCCCTCCTGCGAGCACCGCCCGTGACAGATCAGCCCTGGACAACGCCTTTCCTTCAGCCCCTCGCTCCCTCACGTCCGGCTGAACACCGCCCCGCCCAAGAAACAGCCCCGGCTGATTAAATCAGGACTTCAGAGGCGGCCCCTTTTTTCCGTCTCTGTTACCCGTAGGCGATCACGGCAAGGTGTGGGCGCCTCCCAAAGGGCGAGATTCTGTGCCCCTTTAGCTGATCGGCCCAAGGAGTGCGGGAAAGAGCCGCACCAGCGGCCCCCAAAAAGGGGGGAAGCACAAAAGGAAAGTGGCCCGTACGGGGATCGAACCCGCGACCTTGGCGTTATTAGCACCACGCTCTAACCAACTGAGCTAACCGGCCCTCCATAGGCGCGTTCCTGCGGGGGCGATGCACACGGTATCAGCTGCCTCGGCCCGCCCCTCCTCGCGGGGCCTGCGCGACCGCTCGGGGACCCGCGCGCAAATCCAGGCGCCTCTCGGGGGGGGCGGTGCCGAGTCGGGAACGCGCCAGGGGGAAACGCTGGAAAAGGTGAGGGGGCGGAGCCGCCGGCTGGGCGGGGAAAGCCGGAAAACCAAAATAGATGTGTAT